ACCTCTTATTTGCCTGTTTCAGGCCCCTACCTTCTTTAAGGGGGGCCCTTCACTCTCCAACAAGTCTTTGTGAAGATCCAAATGTGAGAACCAGTGGTTCTCAAATTTGGCTGTATGAGAGAATCGTTTACAAAACAAAAAAATACTGATGCCCTGGCCCTACCCCCACAGATTTACCTCATCTAGAGTGGGACTCAGGCATCAGCATTTTTAAAAAGTTCCCCATGTGATATTAATGTGCAGCTAGGTTGAGAACCACTGAGCCAACCTATCTCAGGGCTTCTATGCAAGATTTCTGACTCAGTCTACTTTTATTATGATCCTACTTGTCATTTGATTGCTCCAGCTTGCAAACATTCCTTTTGGAAGAGATGTTTGTTTTCTCAATAGGTATGCAACAAGAAAAATTCTACCTTACATCTAGGCAGTGATTTATACTCTTCCACAAAATTTCACATTTGATACGAGAGGTCTTGCAATACAGTGAAAGGTCCCAATTCAGGACTTGAAAATTCTGGGTTGAAGTTTTACTTACATTACTTATTAGTTGTTGCGATTTTGGCCATAGCTCTTAAATTCTCTGATACTTTGTTTGTTCTCTCTAAAGAATTCCACTGTGGATAGGATAGCAGTGATGTGTATTTCTTCCAGGCCCTTGAAAGCTCCCAGGAGCATCTCTGTTGGGTTTCCATGTCTGTTCTTTCCACCAAGGAAGCTGTGTGTTTGAAGGCAGTGAAGGAACAAGATAGGAGTCTAAGTCTCTGAGTGAGGGTTTGAAGAAAAGCTACCTGATCAAAAATACCTGCGTTGAACAATTATATGAGCAAGAACAAAACAAAACAACCCCCCAACTCTGCTATTTTATTAAGCCTTGAGATTTTAAAAGTTTGCTTTTTTTTTTTTTTTAATCACTTTTAACTTTGGAGGAATAGGAATAGTATTGGTGGTTTGGTGGGGTGGTACCTCTCGCATCCAGAGTTCACAGTGGAATCAGCTGAAACCATAACCTTCCTAAACTCCTTCCTCTGCCCTACGCTGTGTTCTGTGTCCTCACTTTCTTATAGATTTCACCTGAGAGTCCTCCCTTATGAATCACATGCACAAGAATCCCCATCTCAGGTTCTGCTCCACGGGGTCCCAATCTAAGTCATCCTCTCACTAAAATGTGAGCTCCTAAGGGCAGAAATGTACTTTGTTTCATTTTCCACTACATTTCTAGTTATCCAATGAATGAATGTATAAGTGCCTTATGTGTGTAAGTCACTAGACACTTTGGATAAATATAAGGAAACTTAAGTCATGGATTTGACTCTATGTTTTCTCAAGTCTTATCTAAAGGCATTCTTTTCTGTGAACCTTAAAAGAATGTAGACAATACCATATATTTTTCATCACTTTTTTCTTAATGGACAACAATAAAAGGATACTACCATTATATTTTGCCTTTATTCTTAACTTAGAGTGTGATTTAATTGTGGAAATGAATTTTAAGACAATTTTCTTTGCCTCGATCAGTTGTTTTATATGCTTATTTTTTTTCTTTGAAAAGTGGACATCTGAGAGAATGGCTTTTTTTGAAGAAAACTTGAAAAGTTTTATATAAATTATAAAAGTTAGCCTGGCTGTAGAAGCAAGGAACATATCCACTTTAGAGACCTTTTAAATCCAAACATAATTCCTTTAAAGAACACTGTAGTAGACATTGTGGCCTTTGCTTTGGAAGGCCTGCTTCTGGCACAGGGAAATGGGGGCTTCTCAGTTGAACAGTGGGAGAGAAATGGTGATGAGCGTGCAAAAAGAGATTGCTTTAAGCGTATTGGCTTTTCTTTTTGTATCAGCAACGTGATCCTATTATTTTGAAGCAATGAGGTCATTTAAGTGTGCCTGGCTGGAGGTTTGCTATTTTCCTCTATTCTTTCCTTTAAATCTTTTTTGTCAACCATGTTCTCCTCAACTAGCAGAGCAGCTGTCTGGGTAGTTATAATCCCATTAAAAAGGCCTCTATTATGTCAATATTATATTTATAGAGAAATTAGTCACCTGGGGTTGTTGGGTTATTCTTCTGTTTAGACATATTGTACCCCAGAAAAGCATGACTTTCCTCTTCATGTTAGATAAGGCCTGCTGCCTTGTCACAGTACCATATTGGCTGAAACTGATTAGCAATTAACATGGAATATGCCAATATGCTTTCCTCCGTTTGCAAAGCCCCCTTAATCTTTGCCACTGATCATATTCCTCTCAAGCTTTTTTGATAAAGCTGAGATTGTAGATGTGCCTGGATGTATCGGGCTTATAGTATTAAGTGAAAATATGACAGGCATTAAATGACCATCTTGATGGAAAAAGTGGGGAATCTAACCACAAAGACTTTGTAAACCTGTTAAAGTGCATTTGAGCAGTGCTCTAAAATTAGTAGTACATCTCCCCTCAAGATTCTATTCTTTTTTTAAAACAGATTTTACATTCTTACCATCTGAGTTCAGGTCTAACTATATTCTCCTAAGAGGAAGAGAAAAGACAACGGGCTGAATTGCACTAAAAAATTATATCAGATTATTTAACTATGCCATTAGTGGGTTAAAGTTTAGTTTGTGGAAACTCATCATATTTTGCAAACCATAAAACATAGGGCACTTTTTAGCAGACTTTACAATAAAAGAGGGTGATAGTGAAGTCAACCTCTATATGATGGCATGTGCTTTGTCCTAATTTTGTTTATTTTCCAGAACATGAAAGATTGATTTTTGAGACATTAAAAGGATAACTCTTCAAGGGTGACCCCAAGGGCTCTCACTGTAATTCCTCAGTAGTTGAGGACTCTTGGAAATGCCCAGATGCAGAAAGAAGGGGGTCATCTATTGGCTAGGTGGTGCTTGCTCTCAGAATGCTGTTGGGAAGTTGCAAAAAAGGTGCAAAGAAAGGCAAACTTCTGAGTATCAGCTGTTGTTATCAACTTTCAATACCATGTAAGCTTTTAGGAAAACCTTAATCAAATTTGTAGAGCAACCATGGGATTTAAATAAAGGGGTATAAAGCAGATGAGTGAAAACAGCAATATTCAGATAGCGTAGCTGAAATTTCCTCAGCTGTTTGGAATTATTTAACATAAAATTCAAAGTGAAATTTAGAGAAGCAAGAAGGCTAGGCCAGCTCTGTAAATCTGCAAGTCAGATGTTCTAAAAGTCCCCTTGATCTTGCTCTCTGGCTCCTCCCACTTTTCTTCTAGAAAAGTTTTCTCACGGATCTTCTTTATATTCTCCGCCCCCCTCCCCCACCTTGTTTGGAGATCTTCTCTATACTGATAATATGCTCCTCTCTACCTTGCTGTATAGGTGTTTACATTTAGAAAATTGAGAATGGGGGGACCAAGGCATAGGGCTCCTTAGAAAACAAATCACATGGGTTTAGGAAAACTGGATAATTCATGTGCTTGCATGAATTCTGCATTTTAACAAAATAGCAAACACAAGTCATATTCATTAGAGAAACAACTTGCAGTGCTTCAGTGCCCCCCACATGATCATATTTACTTTCAAGGTCCCTAAGACTCAAGTTGTCCATTTCCCACATAGCTGGTACATGGATATACGACAGTATATTCTATTTTGATCTTAACTGCATCCTCATCAGGTTTACTTCTCCCTGTGACCTCAGGGAAATTCTCTGAGAGTGGAATACTCTAGAGCAGTGCTGTCCAATAGAACTTTTTGTGATGAAGGAGATGTTCTCTGCACAATCCTGGTTAGTAGACACTAGCCACCTAGGACTATGGAGCATTCGAAATGTGGTTAGTGTGACTGAAGGACTAAATCTTTAATTTCATTAAGTTTCAGCTCAAATCTAAATAGCCTCATGTGGCTAGCAGCTACTGTATTGGACAACCCTAGTGAAGTAGAAAGCTCTTCTAGTAGCCAGGATGGGGAAAGATTGTAAACAACACATCCTGAGATAATATATGATGTAGTGATTGAAATATTTGACTTGAGCCAGAGTGGGTGGATTCGAAACCACCTCTGCTTTTCTGAGCAATGAAGTTGTGGTGGTAACTTAATTTCTCTGCATCTTAGTTTTCTTATCTGTATATTGGAATATAGAACAATAACAATACCTACCGCATATTGTTTGTGTAGCAATTTATTGACTAATTCACAGAAAACAATTAGAATAGTGCCTGGCATATAGAAAACCAACTTTAAAGTTGACAGTACCAGTGGCAAGAGTCCTGATACTACTTCTGCAACCAATGAAATATATTGGGAGGATTAAATAAAATATTCAACTATTCATAGGTACTCAGTCATGAGAGTTTTCATCTCTCCTCTCCTTTCCTTTCAGTGCTATTAGTTAATTAATTCATATATGCATCTAACAAATAAGACTGCTCTGTGCCAGTTTTGTCCTGTTATTGTTACCTGTCATTGTGTCAGCTCTGACTCTCGACTCCTTACTCCTTTGTGAACAAGCTCAGGATAGCATGCTGGGGGATGGAGACCAGAGGCACATGGACCAGAGCCAAGTCAGCCCCACTAAGACCATCCTAGACCAGCTAGTGCCCACATAGCTGATCACAGTTGCATGAGCAAGCACAGCTAGGCACAGTGAAATGGACTAATGTTTTAAGCCACTGAGTTTGGGGGAGATTTGTGTGCAGCTATTACTCACTAATAGATAGATAGTATAATTAATGTGGCAGCAATCACCATATAGTCATAGAGATACATACTGGGCCTCAGAGGAGCCTCCCTAATGGGAGATATTGCTGAGCTATGGCCTGAAAGATGATGGAAGGAGATGTTTCAGGCAGAGGGAAGAACATGAGAAACCTGGAACATGAAGCTCCAAAATTCATTTTTTCTACCTGCTGTCAGGGATACATAAATATAAATATTCTTTTGCTTAGAGAGCTTCTTATGTAGCTGTGACATCAAGATTAACACAGAAATAAAGAAGTCAATTATTACACAAAATGAACTATATTAACTGCTGAATTTGTTCAGACCCTGGTGCAAGAAGTGGGAAGAGCACAGAGTGAGATCAATGAAGACTAAAAAACAGCAAAGAAGACTTCTTAAAGGTAAGCTAATCATGATGATACTTAAGGAATGGGCAAGACATGGCTAGGAGTACAGAAGAGAGGAAAATGTTGCTGGAACCATTTGGGGCATTTTGTGGAAGGGCCTTCTTGGTCATTCTTGCCCACTGAACACCTACTGTGTACTAAGCCTTGTGGGAACTACGGGAGAAGAAAAAGAAACAGGAAATATTATCCGGTCTTCATGAAATTGAGAGTTATGCTTGCCTTTGGGGTATCAAGGTCGTTATAAGTTCCATCTTGGCTTTTGCACAACATAAGGTCGGCCTATCATTTCTTTCCATTTGTATTTTTGGAGATGTTACTTTGTGGCAGGGTGCAGGAAGAGCCATGAAATTGTAGATCAATGCATATACTTTCAGATGTTCTCCATAGCAGCAAGGGGTTTGATTGCCAGTTTTCCCAGAAGATGCTGTCTCCTGACCATTTTTCAGAGATTGAGGAATTCCATCTCTCAGTCCCTTGAAATGTGGATTTTATGCTGCTCTGATGATCAGAGCCCCAGTACATTGGCACCTATCGAGAGCTTTATCTTCTCTCCTTCAGGTTTTACTGAGCCTCTTTGGAATTTTGAGGCTTATAAGGTGTTTTCTTAGCCAGAAGTCTTTGTAAAACTTGATTGTCAGAAATAAACAAGAGCAACCCCCACTTTCTGAAAATAGTACTAAAGTAAACATTAATTTGGAGTAAAGGACAGCCCAGACAGCTCTGGCACTAGCTCAGAGCTGGCAAACCTGTGCTGAAGCAGAAAGTTGCTTATTTGTGGGAAACATATTTGTCGAATCATAAAAGAAAGCTGCCATCAAAACTAAGCCCAGAAATTCAGAGACATATGTGGAGATAATTCATGCTATCCTCTTTTCCAGTTGGCAAATGTCTTGATAGGGTTGAGAATAGGGGTGGAAGTCTCTTTAAAGATTCATGTGAGCCCCCCATGGCTAGTGGATTCACCATCTCTAACCCTGTCTATTCTTATCTAGCTCCCTCTCATGGGCTCTCAAAGGCATTTGAAAATAAACAAGTGAGAAAGTTTCCCAAGACCATTCTAGCAATCCACTCTGACATTTGCTGAGAGGATGGGTTAAAGCTGCTCCCTATCTATCACTTCTCTGGTCTAGCACTCAGAGATTCTTTTCCTTGTTTAGTTCAGGAGTGAGATTCTACATGTTACTGTCAAGTACTCTGGTCAGAGCTTTTGCCTATTGCCACAATTTTACAGAACTGTTGTTTCAATGGAGACATATACTTTTAATATTATCTGTGGCTTCTGGACACAAAGTCTCTTATTCATCTCAAATGTATTTAAGTATAGGGGGTAGTTATTGGCTAAAGGAGAAAGTTCCTGTGGTTATCTGTTTTTTTTCCCTCAGTTTCTAATAAGCATACAGAAAAAATTATAATTTACATCAGATAAAGGGGAGATTTCTATAATATATAAAGAGTGGCTACATATTAATAAGAATAGAACAACACCTAAAAGAAAAATGGACAAAAGATATGATCAGGTAGTTCACTAAAAGGAAAATTATGAAACAAATTAATCTTGCATGCATAAAAAGCCACTCGAACTCATCCATAATAATAAATATACATATTAAAACTATAAGATAGTTTTCACTTCTCAGATTAGCAAACACCTAAATGTTTCATATTATACTTGGTCAAAAAGATGTGAAGAAACTGGAACTCTCACACATTATAGTGGCCTTGTAAATAGGACCAAGCAATTTGAGGGACAATTTGGTACTGGCTACAAAAATGGCAAATGTCCTTTGACCTAGAATTCTACTTCTAATAATTTATCCTACAGAAATATCACCCATGGGTGAACTGATGAATACACAAAGTTATTCATTGCGGCACTATTTGTAACTGCAAAAGGTTGGAGCAATTCCAAATGACTATTAATGGGGCACTGGATAAATACATTATGGTGCAACACACAAAATCATACAGTGGTTAAAATGAATGAGGCAGATTTTCCTTTATGCACTGGTGTAAAATAATGCCCTAGATATATTGTTATGGAAAAAATGCATGGTGCAGAATAGTTTGTGTTGTAATTTATCATTAGTACAAAAAAGAAAAAAAAATGTATTTGTTTGCATGTGCATACAATGTCTTTGGATACACACAAAAAATTGAAGTAATATTTTCTTCCAGAAGTGATTGAAAGACAGAGGTGTGAGAGAGAATTATTGTGCATCCTTCTGTAGCTTTAGAATTTTGTATGATGTATATGAATGTGTTATTCTTAAAAAATATGAGCCCTAATCAGAATTCCCAGATAAAGTTTCCTTTTAGATTTTCCTTTGTCTAAAAATTTGGAATCGTTCTTTCTCAAGCCTACCTGAGAGACTATTTGCTTCTCGAGGCCAGAACCTACCATGATCTTCTCCCCTTTGCCTAATCTAGCACCTGGCAAAAAGGGGCTCAAAAATACTTGTTAGAAATATAAATGAAGGCATGGAATGGGTGAGGTGACTTTACAGAAGTTTGCAGCTCCCTAGAACACATGGTGGGGCTGGCTTGTGCCCATCATTTCCAGGGGAGTAATTTTACATTGAAATTGATCAATTCTTAAAGAAAAACTGAGGAAAGTAAATGGACTTACGTGAGAATGTGCTATTAAAAACTGTTATGACTAAATGGGTGCCACCGTCCTAGTCACAGTTGTGGTCAGCGGTCACAGGTCACTGATGAATTCTTTCCAAGAGGATAGAGAGTGAGCAGAGAAATTTGTAGGCATGGTCTTGCCCAGTGATGTACTGGTGAAAGTTTAATAACTGGCTTCCTGGAAACAAACCAACCAACCTTGATTTGGTGTTTCCCAATTTCCATGGTGTAAATACTCCCACCATAGCTGATTTGAAGCTATCAATGTGGCATCGCTGATATGAATTGTGAGGAGTTGATAGCAATTGGCTCTTGTGGCCCAGTGGGAGCATACCCTGGTTATGAGTGGGCAGGCACTCCCCTTCGAAAGTTAAGAGCAGTAAGGCTTAGGGTGTAAATAGACTCTTTGAAGGGTTGGAGTCTTAAAAATGCTATGTAATTCTTGTAAGCCAGTAGTTCTTAAAGTGTGGTTCATGCAAATTGTGGGGCTCTACCACAAACATACTGAATTGGAAATTCTGGGGATGCGTCCCAGCACTCTAGATTTTAAAAAGCCTTCCAGGTGATTCTGGTACATGCCAAAATTCGAGAACCTCTGCTCTGAGCTTCTGCTTTCTTTCGAAATGGTCAAGAGTGTTAAAAAACACAGACCTATACTTACGATTGTACAGAATAATGATTATAAAGTACTTGGCACAGAAATGTAAACTATGATGATCAAGACATTTATTATTGCTCTTCCAGGCATTTAAGAGGCATTAAAGGATTTTGAGGCAGTTAAAGGACTGGCTCTGTATCTTTATTATATCCAAAAAGCTACCTGTCTATTCTGTGACCTTGAACACCTTACTTGAGTTCTCTATCTCAATTTCTTCACCTATATAATGGAGATAATACCTAGGGTGAAAAGTCATGTTACAATATCTGGTAGGTAGTAGGTGCTCAATAAATGAAATTAATATTCTCCAAAACCACAAGTGTTGCTACCCAACTCTGAAGTTTTCCTGAGATTCAAGTCCTAGGTCCCCAAACATGTTCCATGATGCATTCGGAGAATTAAACACAGAGCCAGTCAAACACAGAGAAATTGCTAAATCAATTTTAACTTTATTTCCCTTCCTATTCTGTTTCAAGAGAGTGACTTCATCTCTCTGATTGAGGTGAGGGACATTTACCCTAAGGAATCAATTTATTCTCCTTCCCATCTCCAACCTTCGGATTAGAAGAAGAAAACATTTGGAAAGGGTTACTTGCTTTTTCCTTCAAAAAATATTAATTTAGCACCTACTGTGTGCTCATCACAGTTCAGTGTTGGGGATGTAGTTGTAAATAAGACAGACAAAGTTCTTGCTCTAATGAGACTAATATTCTACTGTAGAGGGGCAGACAATAAGCAAAAAATAAAACCAGCAAACATTAGATATGAAAAATACTATAAAAATATATGTTAGGGAGATGGAATCCAAAATGACTTGAGAGCTGTATTAATTTGAGTGATCAGGGAAATCCTCTCCAAAGTGACATAGACTTGGAGGTCAAAATGAGTTGGCCATTCGGAGTTTTGGGAGAATGCTGTTTCAGGCAGAGACCAGCTAATGCAACTGTCTTAAGGTAAGAAGAAAGTTGGCAATTTAAAGTGCCAAGGAAAGGCCAGTGTGCTAGAGTGGGAGAATGATAGGAAATGAATCCAGAAGATAAGATTGGAAGGCAGACACAGGGTAGATCCTTCAGAGCCATAGTAAGGTGTTCTAAGAAATTTTGATTTCATTCTAAGTCTCAAGGGAAGCTATTGGTTAGTTTATACATGGGAGTATAACATAATACATATATATTGGAAAAGATCATTCCAACTGCTTTGTGAAGACTAGATTATAGAAGAATAAATGTGGAAGCAGAGAGATCAGTTAGAAGGTCATTGTAAAGATAATGTCTTGGAACAAGGTAGTGGGGCAAAGGAAATAGGTGTAAATGAATTCAGGAAATGTTTCGAAGGCAAATTCAGCAGGCCATATTAATGAACTGGATGTTGGCTCTGAGAGAAAAGGAGAAATCAAGGATGAGTCCTTCTTTTATGGGTTGAGCCTCTGGGCAGTTGTTTTAGCTATTTACTGAGATGGGAAGGACCAAGGGAGAGGCAGGGATCTTATGTATCATAGAAAGAAGGAAACAAATGAAAGAAAAAGTATAGGAAGTGAATAGACAGAAAAGGAGTGTGCCACAATGTACAAAATAAAATGGAGAAAATGTAGAATTAGAAGAAAATGAAGTAAATAAGAATAAACAAAAATTTAATAATATTGGCTAGAAAATGTGATGCACAGTATGATAAGATGCATTAGAGTTTGAAAGAACTATTCAAAGGAGTT